GATAGATGAGTTCTGTTAAACAGTTCACTTGCAGTATTACAGTAATTAACTAATGAGTAAAATCATCTGGCACTAGATAGAGCAAATATTAATGTGGGTTTAATGCTTTTGAAGGCTTGATTTCAACCTGCATTTTTGTTACAACCATTTTTACCGCACACAAGGCAGTTAAACTTTATTTGGCAAAAGACACTAAATGAGTATTTGGCAACAAACTACTGGAATTTCACACAGATCCTATAATACTAGAGACCCTTTACAATTAAATTGTTTTTACACAATGCAATATAATGCATATCTGAAAGTAACTGTTTGCAGCATTGTTCCATCTTCACTTTATACTGTCTCTATAGGATCTAAAAAGCACAGAAATGAGATACCATTATTTTACAACTTTCAATTTCTTTCAAATTTATTAATTTTAATTTGCTTCATTGGAATAAAACACCATTGAGGTCTTCTCAGAAGAGTGATAATTAATCATGACTATGACTTTAATAAGGAACATATTACACAAGCAGGGATGGGATGGTATATATTCTCACAAGGCATTGCGTTTAAGCACCCACATTAACATAAATAAGATCACTACAACGTACCTGCTATTCTTTCTACCATCCTGAATAATTAACAAATCCCACAAGCGACATAATTTGTTTGCGTTGATTAGGTTGATAGAAACAAATATGAGTCTTGTCCATATAAAATTCACCATTTCCAAAACAATAAAGTTCATGACCAATATCTCATGTGTTAACTTATGGTATAATTCACCGATCTCTATCAGAAATTCCCATTTGAAAGGTGTTGTCACGACTGTATTCATGATTCATCTCAGTCGCACTCAGAAACGTCGTCAAAAATATAGACACGTTTCTTTACGATTGAGTTCATTTGAATGTAAAAGAGGTCCCCAACATTCTTGAACATGTGCTGTTGGTTAAAATACCATATTTGACTTGATTTGTTCCTCTATTTCGAGATAACAGAACAAAACAGTTGAAAATACCGTATTAATCACAATAGCTCACTCCTCAAGGTGGTCACAGTAAGATGGCGGCCGCGCGCGACTTCCGGCTTCAATTTCTGTATCTATAGTTGCGCTCTCCATATATTTATAGCTCAGTGGTATTTTCCGTATCTGGACTGGTGTCCCGGATGTCGTTTATCTGACGGGAAATTTTTGCTTTGCAAACAGAAAAAAATTTTGCTTTTTAATTTTCCAATTGTGTGTCATTAAAATTTACATATAAAAGTTCCAAACAACCAAATTGTTTTTGATTGAGCATGCATGCCTACCGTATATTGTTACCCAGTGAAACTGACGATAGCCGATTTAATTCGCGCGAAAAGCATATGCTCATAGACTCAGTTCAGCCATATAATAAACCGATTATTGACCTCGCTTGTTCGGTCTGTACTGTGAAATATCAGACCTCTGTTTTTTGCATGGACCTCGCTCCTTCGTCGCTCGATTCATACTAAAAAACATCGGTCTGATATTTCATGCACAGTACAGACCTCACGCTCGGTCAATAAGCCGTTATTATTAAATTCAGGCCAATTTCCATCTGTTCTGTCAAAGAGCTCTTTGGACTTTGATATACTTTATTGTGTATGTTTTGTGTCTTAGAACCTCCTTGTTGGAAGAGGGTAAAAGAAATAAAGGCAAGGTTTGGTGATAGACGCCCTGCAGACCTAGTCGATCCATGGTGTGATAAAGACGGTTATTTCCAACCCCTGCAATGTCCTCCACTCCCGGGATGTTACTGTGTTGATAAATATGGAAAGCGTACATCGAGGTTCTTCAGAGGCTCACGTCTCCCAAATTGCAGGAAATTAACAAATACAACCCACCACGACAGGTAATCATTTTATAAATCTCAGATAATTTATATATTAGATGCAGCATTCTTTTTTAATGGGACTGTTGCATCTCTGGCGCAAATCGCAAATTTACATCTGCAGGGTTCGTAGTCGCCAAAACCAAAAAAATTCCAAGACTTTCAAAGATTTTTTTTCATATTTTCAAAGACCTTTGAGAGCAACCACCTGTCGAAAAATTGCGTGCGAGCACAATTTTTACCCAGTAATTAGTCCCGTCAAATCACATCCTAAAATGCACTTTTTCGTCGATATTTGCGAAAATCTTGCTTCAATCAATCAATTTTACTCGCTAGGAAATCGTATAATCAAACACTCAATAAAATTTTAAAGACTTTTAAAGATTTTCTTCGCTTTTTCACACAGTTCAAAGACTTTTCAAAGACCTCAAAGACCTGAATTCAAATTTAAAGACTTTCAAGGATTTTAAAGACCGCTACGAACCCTGATCTGTTCTTTGATACTTTGTATATATTTGTTTCTTAGAACCTCCTTGTTGGAAGAGGATAAAAGAAATAAAGGCAAGGTTTGGTGATAGACGCCCTGCAGACCTAGTCGATACATGGTGTGATAAAGACGGTTATTTCCAACCCCTGCAATGTCCTCCACTCCCAGGATGTTACTGTGTTGATAAATATGGAAAGCGTACATCGAGGTTCTTCAGACGCTCACGTCTCCCAAATTGCAGGAAATTAGGACTCAACGTTGGTCGGATTGCCAATTAACAATATTATTTCAGGATAAATTGTGACAGTGATTGGCCAATTATAGTAGCAAATTATAGTAGTGATTGATGAAATAAATATATATTCTGTTCTGGTGCAAAGTAACACAATTGTCTTGACTGACTGCATGCATGCATGAGAATGAAATGTTTGTCTACATAACTGCAGGCATATGTATGTTAGTTACTTCAACTTGCAGTGATGACTATGTTTATGGTCACAAGGCATTTTTTAATACCATGCATGGACTGGTGGGTCATTTGCCCCACTGGGTCGCTTCCTCTGAAGAAAAAATGGCCTATATTTCCCTAAAGCCAGGGCCATATAGTTGAGAAAACGAGTTTAACATTGAAAAGAAGTTTAAAAAACAAAATTTGTTGGTGAGCATACTTAAACTTATGTGTTGTGTTTGAATGTTTAGCATGCAATTTATTACAAATTTCACCATTACGAGAAGCCGAGATTTTTTTTTAAATGTATTCTCAGAATGCAGGAAATGCTATTTCAGAGATCCAAATTTTAAAAATTTCCTGCGGAGGGATGCCCCCATACCCCTAGCTAACTCCTCAAAAATGCACTGTTTACGGATCCAAAATATCCATGCAACAATGCTGGTTTACACTACCAAAGTTTCTGTGATCACATGCAGTAGAAATTTTCCATTGGTAAATTCTAAGTTTTGAAGGATTTGTAAGAAATGTAATTTTTCACGCTGATTCGAACAGTGGTATTGTTGTCCTTGTTTGGCCCATAAAACCAGAGATAAAGCCTAGCAAACAGTCGGTCCTGAGAGTACAAGATTAATTTTCCCGCTAAAATGAATAAATTTCGAGCACGTGCAAGGAATTTTTACTAGGCGATTAAGGAAACGTATTGATGCGAACAAACTCACAGGCAGAATATGTGGTGCCAAAAATGGCACGGGCACCGCAATTACTTATTGTTATTCTAATGAGTTTCCAAACCATCTACTCTATTAACTATGGTGGGAACGGATTCATACTTTAAAAAATTTAGCTATGAAAAATTCCTGCAGTGATCACAGAAATTTTGACAGTGTAATTTGTAAACCGGCCTTTTAATAGTCTTCGAAAGTGCTTACAAACCAGTGGCGTTCTGTGAATGATAGCCGAATAATTTTGCAACAAACGGTAGCAAAGTTTTCAACCACGGATGCATCTGTAGGGTATAAATTAAAGACCATGTCAATTCCGTAATGTAAACAAACGTTTTGTTTACATTTTGAACTGCTATATTTGTAAAATAGGACATACAACTGAATATCTAACACTTTTTTGGTTCACTATTGTAAATGAATATAAACCAGAGTATACGTTTCAGTTAAAAAAATCTAAAGATGCAAAATTTGGGTGTTTATATCTGCGGGTCCTCTTCGTTATGAGTAGAACCGATGCACAGAACGGACTTGACATGGTCGTTGGCATGAAAATTAAGGAGGAAAATGTTAACAAACTGAGATTATGGTCATAAGGTGGCCTCTCGTCATCAGGGTCGTACACCTAAATAATTTTAAAAAATCCAGGGTTTTCCAGGACCTTTTTTATCCTTTTTCCAGGGGTATTTGAAATATACAAAACAATTTCCCTAAGAAGTTGACAGGTTTTTGAGTGTTTATAGTTTAGGTATGATACTATACCCAGCTCAGTTTTCCAGGGATAAATTTGAAATTCCGGGGTTTTTCAGGACTAAAATAAAAATCCAGGGTTTTCCAGGGGGCGTACGAACCCTGCGTCATGTTAATATTTCAAACAAATATAAGCCATAGAAGGAGGCTAGCTGGAACAAAGACTAGTCATTAATGAAGGTGGTTTATATTTGTCATATCACGCCAACTCAAACTTTGGCTTAACGAAGAGCAGTATAGCGAGAAAATAAAACTACCCATATAAATTGTGGGATATTAATGCCTTGCAAAAACCAACACAAAACGATATAAATGATTTCCCTATTTTATATATACAAATTAAGTTTACATATTAAAATGGGATATTTTACAACGGCAGAAAAAAAAACACGAAGAGGCAATGTACATTACATTACAATAAAATGAGAATTGACCTTAAAAGTCCTTACGTCACGGTGAGACAATGAATATTTGACCTACATGTATCCCACATCGCATATACCGGATGTTTTGAGAATTACGTGAAGTAAGGACTCTTTAGGATCATTCCTACTATATCATGAAAGGTATTTTACAGTCAACGTACGTCTTTCGTGGCGTATAGTAATAAGTTCAGGTAGTCCACAAGTATCTCGACGGTTACGATGTATACATTCCCATCTGAAACATGGAATATAAAATACCTTTGCCCAAAAAACATGAACATTGTGACGTATAGTTTAGATGAATAGTTTAGGCGTCGTGTCAAAATGTATGTTGAGAAATAAGAACTATTTAGATTCAGAACGACTGAACAAGCGCGACGGTAAGTAGTTCATGTACGACACACAAAATAGTTTGAGCAAATTATAAGGTTTGTGTGATCATAAAAGTTATTCGTAAACCTGACCCTAACCTAATCCTAGTTTTAACACCATCTGACTGTTTTAACCCACTTTATATTACCTCAAACTATTATGTGTTCCTTACACGAAGTAGTAACTAGAGGTCGCGACTTCTTGTCTTCATCTGGCCAATACTGCGGGCACTACATATAAACATATATTGGAAAACATTCTCCTGAAGCCCTCGAGAAACCAAGAAACTTTTTGCGCCACTGCACTATGACCTGTTTTAGGCTAGCATAATTCCAGGAAATATTTGAATGTACACTGTTTTCTAGAATGTTCTCAAATTCATTTCCCAGGTGGCGAAAAGGTTCTAACTACACTAGACACGTAATTCGGGAACATACTGTTTCCGAAGGACGATTTTCGTTGCGGAGGATTTTACTACGAAAACAACTACGAAATTCGTTATTTGGATACGCCATATCCTTATGTCTTGTAGCAGTGGTCAAATTAACAACGGAATTTTAAAATTCTCGTAGAAAAACAAGCACGTACTACGAGATTATGGCGTGTGTGCATGTACGTATTAATGGTGTGAGAAGATAATGAGCATGTGCATATAACGAACTCCTGTTGTATCCTTAGAGAATAGAGACCGATTTACACTACAACAAAAAACTTTTGCGTGAAACTGTCGCATGCAACCTGCTTACAACTCGAGTTGTGCGGTGTAAATCAAGTGCACAACTCGGTTAAGTTGTTCGGCCTTAATGTTCCCGAAACATCCTAGTTTGCAATGTTTGGTAAATATGACATCTCTAGTTTGCCCTGGGCTTGAACAACGCCTTGCAACATCTAAATGGTCTCAACTTTGTAAAGTCTCACACTTTCAACGCGAAACTGGAAATGGTATAGTATATCGCTTAGCGGATCTCCAAACTAAACTAGAAGTTATTGACTTATTGTAACCCCTCGTATATGTAACCCCTTAAGAACAAAATTGAAAGTATAGTATCAGAACTAAATTAGAACTTAGAACCCATTGTAAACCCTCTTTATCCCCCAATTGTTGGTTTAAATAGTTACTTATATATCGAAATCGCTGTCATCATCATCATCTTCATTCATCCAATCCTCCTCAGCACTGCTCTGGTTTTCACTCATAGCTTCGTCATCGTCATCAATGTCATACTTCACAGCCGTTTTTTGACGCCTGGCTGGTCTCTTGACAGGAGAAACAGGTTTATTATCAGCATCGTTGTCGTCTTCGTCACTACTGCATAGGAGTTCACGAGTTCGCTTTGGTGCGGCTGATGCCTTTGCCTTTGTCATTGTTTTTGCCTGATGGGAAAAGTGAACTAACAATTGAGAGGTTAAGATACCCTGGTTCGGTTTACAGGTACGGGTGATATATACAAGTACCCGAAAAATTCCGGTAAACAAAATGGTGATACTCGCACCCGTAAAAGGGAAACCGTAATCTGTCTAATAATATTGTTAAGGAACGTTTAGACACTGCGATTTGTCGGGTCGATTTTAGTTTTGTTGAACGCTAACGACGAACATTCTCAGTTCAAGTATCATTAACGTACAATTGAAATCGGCCGATATCTTTAGGCATGAGTAACTGATACAGGGCAGCAATATGACAATTAACGCTGAAACTGATTAACTCTTTCTCAAAGGTAAGGAGAATTGTTGACCTACCTTTTTGGCAGGCGGTTTGGATACCGTTGCAACAGTGCTATCTACCGACGAATCAGACTCGATATCTATAATGTCTTTCTTGGCTGGTTTCTGTTGAAATTAAATTTGAACATATCAATGATGGTGATAATAAAAACTACAATGTACTGTGTCTGAGTGTGTTGACGTTCAGTGACAGTGTTGATAGTGTTAAAAATATTTAGGCAGAAGGGGAATAAAAAATACCAAACTTCAAAATATTTATTTATAGGTAAGCGTGGGTGTGTTAATCATCCTTCGTAATTCAGCTTAGCTGTCAGCTGCCAGTAAGGAGCAATCCAACCTGATCGTGTCGAAGTTTAGTTTTGGCAGATTATGGTGTAAAAACAAGGTACTGTCAGCTATGCGGAGCTAGTCTGCTGCCTTTTTTTAGTGGAAATGTTCCCAGCTTCACTTCGCTTGAGACAAGACACAGGTTTTGCAACAAAATGTGAAAATCTATTCGCTTGTATTCAGTATTTTAGCATGTGATCGACAGCTGCAGAAAAAGTCTTATGGCCGATTATCAGGAATAATCGGCCGATTACCGATTATTTACCGATTAATCGGCTCATCCCTATCTGTCAGTCACCTTATGATTCATGTCTGATCACGAAGTACAGCTACGGTGGAAGGGTCAGTTTGGGGCTCATGCCAACCAACCCTAGAAAATCCACAACTTTCGGTAGAGCGTTGACCGACTCTTTTCACAAACGTTTTTCATAGCGCTGAGGATGTTTTCTAGAAACTAGAAGATTTCGAATCCCGCTCAAGACAACAAATTTTTCGCCGTTTTCTGCAGTGTCAGAGTAATATGAAATTGTTGCGTATTTTTTAAACATTATGATTGGTAATGTCGGATAGGCTTTGACATTGTTCAAAATTTCCATCCAACCTTGTTCAATACCGTTGAACCAACAATGTTGCAGGGAAATAAATTATACAAACATAAAATTAGAATTCTCGCACCCAAGCAGAAGCTTACGATATTTTATACATTCAATGTAAAACAACTTACCCGCTTTGCAGGGGACTTCAGTTTCTTCGCTTTACTTTTGCTTGTTTTAGAAGCGACTGAAGACTCCGAATCAGATGTTTCCTTAGCCTTGGATTTCTTCGCGTTACTACCAAATACTGCAGATGATGAAGTTGCTTCTGATGCGCTTGTGGATTTCTTTCCAACTTGCTTACTGCTCACTGAGGATGCGGCATCTGAAGTATCTTCATATTTCTTCAATGCCAGCCTTTCAGTCAGTGATAACATATCGTGGTTCTCGCTGTCGTCACTGAATCCCCAGTCTTCTTTCGGTTTTTCTTCCTTGGGAATTTCTTTCTCGCTAGTTTTAGCTTTGGCTGTTTGCTTCCCGAAGGCTTTCTCGATTGTGTTCTTATGAGTCTTCGGCTTTGTCGCGGCAGCTTTGCGACTCCTTGAGGCTTTACCTGATTTCCCGGATTTGTTCTTAGACACGACCTTAGAGCCGGCTTCGGCATCTTCCCGTTCTTGAGCTTCAACAACCTACAAGGAAAAAATCAGGTATTTTTATTTCTAATCATTTTAATTGACACAAAAATCCTGGGCAAAGTAGAAATTCCGATCCAGGCTTCCCAATATATAACCCAATTCCACCTTACCAAAGAAATGTCAAGGGAAAGGTTCTTCTTGATTCGATAAGATAAATCTCCAAAACTATACTCACCAAAGTCCAATGTTACTGGAAATTGGTTTTCAGAGTGTCCAAATTTCAAATCTTCACGAGGAGACGCCCTCCGACCCCCTTCTCTACCACATAGCCGCCTCTTTTTTCAAAACGGCTCCTACTCTAAATTTTATTGAGACCCATGCGATGTTTCTTCGAATGTTCTCTCTTCCCCCACCGAAGGAACATTGTTGCCGAATCAAATTTTGTTTTCAGAATTCAGAAAAGGTTTTGGTGGCAATTGATAGAAAAATGTTCCCAAAACAATGATTCTAAGGGCTAAGGTAGTGATTTCAAACTGTCAGCTGTAACAATGTTGATGAAAACAAGCTTGAACAATATTTTGCTGTCCATATTGTTCCTGGTTGTTAACAATATTGTTCAGCATTGTTCAGCATGAACAATATTGTTAACAACCAGGAACAATATGGGCAAAATATTGTTCAGGCCTGTTTTCAACAACATTGTTACAGGCTGGGCAGCAAGCGGTTTCGCTCTGTCCACCGAGACTGGATAGTTTAATTATCAATCCTGAAGAGGAACCTACAAGTTCATATACTATTCCCAAATGTATACAAGATCAGTGAGCCGTTGCTTACAGTGCCGCAGTATTGGTTATCTGTACATCATTTTTACCAACGTTTTCCATCCTTTCTAGACAGATGTAGTTTATCAAAAGGAGAATTGAAATTGTAACAATATATCATTGAACATATATCTTACCTCAAGTTGTTCAAGGAAAACATCTAAGTCTTCAAGCCACAAGTCTTTTGGCGTCTTCCTCCGTAATATCTCTAATTCAGATCGCTAAACAATAACACAATGCGCATTAACTTTCCGTAGAAATAGCAAAACGACATGTGTTTATTACAAATAAAATTCGTACTCCGCCGGAACAAGCTGCTCATTTCACATATCAGATCGAGTAAGATATAAACAAGCTATATTTTTCTTATTTCAAGATTGTTCCTAGGACCATGCGAGTACCAGGCACTGTACGTACCTGCACAACCCTCAGGACATGCCTCCCACACCCGCCGATAATTTTTGAAATCTTGGTGGAGTATTTGACAATTCTGATTTAAATAACTAAGTATCTCGTCATTTTCTTGAAATACTGGTATTTAAACTTGAAATACTGGGGCCGGTTGTATAAAACTCTTAATCACTTTTTTAATCACTATTTTGTAGTTAAATAGTGATTAACTCTTAAATAGGCGCTTCTTATTGGATGACGTTTCCACTAAATTATAGTTAACTTTAATCACTTTTTTTATACAACCGGTCTCTGGTATTTTTCTTGAAATACTAAGTGTCTCGTTCTTTTCTTGAAATAATATTTCTGGTTTCAAAACTCTGTTAATATTCTATAAAATGTGCTACAGAGTAGTTTATCAAACCAAAAGCCATTTTTTACAATTGATATTTTTGCAAATGTTTCGGGCTTTGTACTTTGCCCTCGCGTGACCAGGTTTTTCATTTTTTACATAAAAAACTTACGTACATTGCATCAACACAGAAAATATCATGATTACTAGATTACATTAGTATCGAAGGGACTAGATTCTGTTCCGAAATATCACATACTCGAACCGACCTGACCGCGTAGCTCAGTTGGCAGAGCATTGGTCTAGTATTCCAAATGTTGTAGGTTCGATTCCCACCGTGGACAGGCATATTTTTCAAGCTTGCCCGGTGTGGATATACACTAAGAGTAACATCACAAGTATCATATTCACCTGAGTACATTGCATCAACACAGAAAATATCAAACTTACTGACTTCGACCGTTCGGGCAGTACGGAAAATTATCAAACCTACCTTATTATCTCGTTGTTTCAATAATTCATCTTTCTTTTCCTCAGAGAGACTGCGGATAGCCATGTTAAGTAGATAACCATAATCAGGTCCACTCGAGGAGCTTGATGTTGAACTGACGGAGCTAGTTTCACTACGAGAATCCTCATCATCAGTAGTCTCCTGAATAATTACATTGTTTTGCTTCTGATCTTCTTTCCAGATCTTCACTGGGTCAGAGGGATAACCACGTTCTACCAATTTCATCACAATAACTCGGTCCTTCTTGTTTTCTGAGGAACGGAAAGCAAGTTTAGTTTGTGCAAGTATTTAAGATTAAGATAAGATTACATATATACTTATTCACATGTAAAAACGTATAGACGTTGTAAGAAGCCTGCAGCAGACTTGTATAGCAATGCTGTTTCAACAATTTGTCAACAGGATGTGTTCGCCACTGCTTATTCCCAGCTTGCTGACAAGTTGTCAACGGCTTATAAGCAACTTGCTACAAGGTTGTTGAGCTCAATTAACAGGCTTGTTACAAATTGTTCCAACAACTTGTTATCGTCCTGCAATTCAACTATTTGTCAACAAGTTGTGAGTGACGACAACCTTGTAGCAACTTGATAAAATAACAACATTGTTACAACTTGCTACAACGTTTAAAACACTGAATGGACTTGCTCCACAATATATAGCGGATATGATCAGCCACTATATAAACCTTCTAGATGTCTCAGATCTTCTAAGGCTAACTTACTTAATGAACCAAGATTTAGTGCAAATAGTTACGGTGGTAGAGTCTTTTTTGCAAGTAGCCTAGGCTATGGAATGAGCAACCTTCTTCTATTAGAGCATCAGATCTTTCTGGATTCAAGAGTGAACTTAAGACCCATTTGTTTAAAATAGCTTACAATGTGGAGTAGTGTTTTTAGTGACTTAGGCTTGTAATAATAATAATAATTATAATAAGCCTGTTGCGAGATTTTTATGTGTGTAGCCGAGACTATTTTATCTTTTTTTACAATGGACCTTTAACCTTATAACTAAAATTTTGATCTAGACAAAAATTTCATCACAGCTTGAAAGAGCATCACAAAATTAGTAATATTCCAAAGTTTCGTTACGAAATGTTGTAAAATGTGGATAATATAGCCTTGCGAAGTTTGCAATTTTCAGTCATTTTAGATTACAAACGGGAAATTGATAGCCAAACACCCGATTTGGGTATCAATTTCCCGTTTGTAATCTAAAATGACTGAAAATTGCAAACTTCGCAAGGCTATATTATCCGCATTTTAAAACATTTTGCAACGAAACTTTGGAATATTACTAATTTTGTGATGCTCTTTCAAGCTGTGATGAAATTTTTAGTTATAAGGTTAAAGGTCCATTGGGGGAAGTATTAAGAACAGCTACCCAAGGTCGTGTGATTGACAACCCTCATGTGATCCGCGCCTAAATCTTTCATTTTACAATTTCAAAGTAATTTTGAACTTCACAACGAAGTTGCGAACGAAGGTTGCAACATTCAGGAAAAAGTTATGTGAAATCGACTGCAAGGCTACGTTTACACTATACCGGCAGGGTCTTAGCTAGAGGGCCGTGTTGGCCGGGTTATCGCGGCCAAAAGTGCAAAAACACGGCTAGATAAAATGAACGCGGCTTCACTATTTATATAAGGCCGTGTATATAGGTTCATAAAATAAGGTGGTGCTATACTTACGACAGACAGAATTTCTTCCTATTTACGTCAAGAAAATTTGTAGAATCTACTGTTGTTGTTGAATTGGCAAAAGTGATCCGTGATGTTTTAATGTTTTGATGGCTAATGAATGGGAACTGTATGGTGTTGAAATGGTTTTAATTTTGTTGAAATAACTTAATTGTCAGTGCGCAATATGAGCGTATGCTTGCCTTGTATTTGGCTGCAAAGCATAGAACAACCACAGGCATTGTTGTTGGCGAGCATAACTAGAGCCATTATTTTGCTATTCAAAGTAATTGACATGTGCACGCCCTGGTCATTAGAAACACGCCCAAGATCTAAAATCCTAGCTAAGACCCTGTATACCGGATAGCTTTCCGTAGCGGCGGGAAAAAGCACCTTATCCGATACGGAATGTACAACTTTCAGAAGCTGACGGAACAACATCTCTCCGTTGCAATAATGCCTCTGAACATAGCGTTCCTAAAAGGTACGGATCATAGATATCTTATATACACTAGATAGTGCATCTAATTATTCTGCAATTCAAAAATTGAAGCCGTGATTGCAGTCTTTGCAGCCGTGATTGCAGTCAGAAATGAGAAGATTCGTATGTTTTCTATTTCATAAACAGGGAACTTAAACATTAAAGTTAACCCTATTCCAAATACATTTTTAAACAATTCAAATGATGAAAGTTATTGTTGTTTTTAAGCGTTTATTAGCAAGTGGGAACGACCAACATGGCCGCCATCTATTCAAATGGGGGTAACCGCTGGAATATTCTTGGCTTCAATTTTACTAAAACAGATGCGCTATCTAGTGTATATAAGATATCTATGGTACGGATAGGTGTTTTGTCACGTCGCTGCTACGGAAAGCTCTCCAGTACAAGTGTGAACGTAGCCGAAGACTTTCAAAACCCTCATTAACAAAATAAGACCATACCTATAATGATAATGCCATCAATTTTCTCGAGGATAAATCTCGCCTGCGCGGTCAATCTCTCTGCTTCGGCACTTAACATTCCCTCGAGAAATTCCTTTCGTTTCACATAACAATTCAAACGGATGGCGTAATACTCTCGAATGATCTGGTCGACATTATCGAACTTCTTTATAGCTCCGAACGCATCGAACATTACCTAAACGTAAAATGGAGATAAAGTAAAAAATATACTATTGTTCCCAGTAAACTGCGAGACAACTGTTTTTTTCAAGCAACCCCGCCCTGGCGTAACGAGGTGTTCTCATTGGTTGGTTGTTAATTGGATGTTGTTGCATGATAGCGAGGTTATTGCCAAAAGTTTATCTTCCATTCGCCATTTCTACGGCAATTGTCAACGCCAATCAAAATTGCAGGGGTTGGGCACTCCCGGCGGTCAATTTTGTATAATATTTACTCATCGTTTAGCTAATTACGAGCGAAATTTTTCAACTAACCATATTACTGAGATTAATGGAAGATGATAGGTTAAACTTCTTCATCAAGCCTTGATTTTCCGTTGCAGCAAGATCTTCCTCGGCCATTGTTACTTGAAAGTTCACTTTTATATCCGTGTTGTACTCTTTGTAGTCACTGAAATACAAGAAATGTGTTACTATTGTTCAGAGGAGGAAAAAGTATCGGAACCTGGGAACCTAGTTCCCAGAAATGTTTTGAGGATCTGCATTTTTGCTGAAATTTTTAGACATTTTGATTTTTTAATTTTGATAGCTAATTCTGAAAATTAAACTATTTGAATATCAAAATTACTAAATACCATCAGCTATGTAGTAATTTTGATATGCAAATCGAAATGATTGAACACCTACTTAATTAATCTACTAACTCAATACTCAAATTACAGTGGAACAGTTCTGAACGAAAATATTCATATAGCCTGCAGTAGTACTTTGTTTTTAATCCGGTAAGACTGTAACTACTTCAGGATTTATCTTATATGTTTTACCAGTCTTAAAGATTTATTAATCCATGTAAAGTAAAAAGACAATCATAAACAACAATTTTGTTAATTATGTTCGGAGTTGGTTCGAATGAGGCCAAAGCTGCGGCTGTTTAAAATAATTTTAAAAACACTTTAAAAAAGGTCTTTATTGTCTATTAGTATCTAAGCTTTCGTCGATGATGTCGTCGTTGACGATGAAAGCTTGGATACTAATAGACAATAAAGACCTTTTTTAAAGTGTTTTTAAAATCTATTTTAAACAGCCGCAGCTTTGGCCTCATTCGAACCAACCCCGAACATACTAAGCAATTATTGGATGAGGCTGGGCATGATATCAAGAATTATTCAGACCGAGGTCAATGTTATCTGCCGAAGCGAAGCTGAGGCGGATAACATAGACCGAGGTCTGAATAATTCTTGTTATTATATACACAAGGTCTGGATATGAGGTATTCTGCAATCTGGTTGGTTCTCTACTAGCAGGATATTAGCTCATATCCTGCTAGTAGAGAAAAACAAAATGGCGGCCAAACTGAATTGTCGAGAAAACGGCAAGTTGTCGCTTTTTATAGCCTTCACAGGATTAAAAACACAATGAAAAAACGCCCACAAATTGTTTTCAGGTTAGCAAATAAATTTTTAAAATTTAAAATGGTTAAAAATATATATTTTTGAAAAAATAATCGGCCGAAAGAGCGAAGATAAAAACATAAACAAAATAGAAAAATATCCGAATAGCAAAGTCTGTGAATTCAGACCTTGTGTATATAATAAAACAGTTATTCCACTCACTCTCGTCGAATATGAGCGATAGCCGATTCGGCGCTACGCGCCTCATCGGCTATCAGCTCATATTCGACTCGAGTTCGTAGAATAACTGTTAAATATCATGCGAAAGCCGAATCCAATAATGGTTTTATTATACATTTAAAGACATGAGAAACGTATAAAACGATTCCTGTTCATGAGGTAGGAAAAGTACAATTTGAATATCAAACACCTTGCACAAAGTCAAAGGTCAGCTAAATATTCTATTTCTACTTCTATTTACCCCTTTGTGGCTTTTTTCGTGCTTTCACTATCCTTATCTGCCAATAATTTGGAGGGTTCACTTTCATTCAGCGAAGCAAATCTGCTGTAGGCCATTGTTTTTGTTTTTTTCGCGCGCTTATAGGTTCAAGCTTTGGCCGCGCAAGGGTTTGGGCACGAGAGAGTC